AATAAGCCTCCTCGGGAGTCAGATCTACGAAATTGCCACGACACGTTTGACGGTAGGCTGGCCTGGTGGGGGCGTCTTGCGATGCCTTGGGAGAAAGTCATGGCGCAAGCCGAGGGGAGCAACGCCGTACTTCTTGGCGGCGGTGGGAGGGAAGAAACTGACCTCATACCGCGGCGCCGCCGCCGGAACTGCCGATTCCGCTGCCAGAAAAGATTTCGGAGGCCATGAATCATCTCTTCCGTATGTTTGCCCTGTTGTGATCTCTGAATTTAATTTTTTCCTTTCTGCTTCTGCCTCAAATAAGCAGCCTAGAATCTCTCCCCCTACCCCCTACGACTAATTTCTTACCGGGAATTCGAGGGTACGTCGAAATTTCTCATCTTGTTGATCAAATATTTCTGGGTCGTGTTTGATTTCTGGAGCTTTGTCAATTTCTACGGCAGCATGAACAATCCTTGGGTCATCATGTAATTCGAGAGTTCTGAGTTCTGCCCATTTTTTCATCATCCTCACGATCTATCATGGAAATTCTAAATTATCTCGCCCGGTTTCGTAAGCTATGTCAACCTGGGATCAGAGTACCCGTCGTGTTCTTGGTCTTGATAGTCATTTGCTTCTTGAGCTTCCAGAGCTCGACGCTCTTCTCTGAAAGCGATCTACTGCATGATCTTCGGAAGATGTTCTCGCCAAGTGCGTCAAACTCTGGGCCAAGTCGTTCCAACAACTCTGCGGCAGATAATTCCTCCGCTCCTGTTCCTATACCTGTACCAGTGGTGGATAACAGATCAAGCCCCAGTCCGCAGCCGGAGAAAGTGGAAAACTCGACTAATAGCTCTCTCACGTCGGTGGGTTCTCCCCTCGACGAGGGGGCAGAGATGCGGAAGAAAAAGGGAAGAAGTAAATCGCCTCCCAGGAGCGACAAACCGGCGAGTCGGAACTGCTCACGGGAAAGAGAACCTCGGAAGAAAAGGAAAACCACGCAGCATGTAACGTCCATTCGAGAGATGAGCGAGATACTGTTGAGGAATCAACGTTCTTCTTGTTCAAAGGTTAGTATTCCTTGGCCGATCAAGAAGATTCGGAGAAGATTGCGTCGTCTCACAGTTTCGATTGACGCGCCGGCTGCAGGTTCCGCAATGGTCTTGTCCGATTGATCAGCAGATTCTTGAAGCGAGGAGAAAAATTCTCAACGCTCCAATTGTGGAGGACGACCCGGAGCTCTACCCGCCCGTTTACCGAAATTTCTCCACCTTCAAGAGGTAAAAATGGTCTGCGAGAGGACTGAAAAACCTCGACGGCGGCTCTTGCTCTGTTCTGAGAACCAGAGGAACCTTTACTTCTTCAGGAGCTACGAGCTGATGGAGAAGATGCTCAAGGTGTACGTCTACAATGAGGGCAAGAGGCCCATCTTCCATGAGCCCATCCTCTCGGGGATCTACGCCGCGGAAGGCTGGTTCATGAAGCACATGGAGGGGAAAAACCGCTTCCTCGTTGACGACCCCGCGAAAGCCCACCTCTTCTACATGCCCTTCAGCTCCACCATGCTCCGCATGAATCGCTACGACCCCAAATCCCCACACAAAAGAAATCTGGTCCAGTTTCTGCGGAACTACGTCACCACAATTGCCGCCAAGTATCCCTCCTGGAACAGGACCGGCGGCGCCGATCACTTCTCCGTCTCCTGCCACGACTGGGTACGCCTGCTCCCTCCTTTTAATCGGAACCACCAGTATTTTGTCCATGGTTTCAGAGCTTCTGACTCTGGTGACGATGATTCCAACAGGCGTCGATGTTGACGGCGAAAGCAATGGGGGACTCCATTAGAGCCCTCTGCAACGCCGATCTCATGGGTGCCTTCGAGATCGGCAAGGACGTGTCCATCACGCTGACGCCCGTGCGAAACGCAAAGAACCCTGTGCAGAATGTGGGCGGCAAGCCGGGGGAGCAGAGGGACTTGCTCGCCTTCTTCGCGGGGCAGATGCACGGCTACGTGAGACCATTGCTGATGCAGCAATGGGGGAAAGGAGACCCCGACATCAAGGTCTTCGGCCCTCTGCGCAAGGGGAGGAGGTGGGATGCGACGACATACGTCGACTCTATGCGAAGGACCAAGTATTGCCTCTGCCCGAGGGGCTACGAGGCGAACAGCCCGAGGCTGGCGGAGGCCTTCTTCTACGAGTGCGTTCCGGTGATCATCTCCGACAACTTTGTGCCTCCCTTCTTCGACGTCCTCAACTGGGAGGCCTTCTCCGTGGTGGTGCCGGTGAAGGACATCCCCAGGCTAAAGGAGATCCTCCTCTCCATCCCCAGGGAGAAGTACCTGGCCCTTCAGACCGGCGTGAGGATGGTCCAGCGGCACTTCCTCTGGCACTCTAAGCCGAAGAGGTACGACCTCTTCCACACGACCCTCCACTCCGTCTGGTTCAACAGGGTTTTGCAGTTGAGGGAACGGTAGACTGAAGAAATCTTGGTGAAAAAAAGGAGGAAGGTGGAGATGAAGGATTAGATCAAATGAAAGCTACACGAGAAGAGATTACCTGGAAGTTTCCTGTACAAAACGAGCTCATCTTCATTCATGTATCACTTATTCAAATTTCTTTCATTTATAATGAGATTTTCATGTCTCGATGATCTGTCACATAGTGGGGACAAGGTTTGTAAGGTAAAACACATAGAGCAATCTCCTGGTATGAGCTCATGATATGGTTGGGCATTGCCTAGATAGGCCCAATCTAACTTTGTAAGAATGAGAGATGAGATAGGTGGGATCCCACATGGGTGATTGCGAGGCCTCGTGGCAATAAATGGCACATGTCAAATTATGGATTATATTGGAGTCGTGGAGAAGAGTCTATTGGACCTTAGTGGGCTTTGATGGGGACTGCAGAGTAAGTGGAGCAAAATTTAGTTTTACTAGTGTATGTGTCCTTTGTCCCTATGTACTTTTCCTAACCCTATGATAAGAGGGGGAGAAGTCGCCATCTCTATTAGGACGTGTCAAGGTGTGCTATATGAGCGTTGTGTGATCCTGCACATAGGGTTGTAAGATGATGTTGTCGCCCTTGAAGGAAGGAGAAGATTCTTGGGCGACCGTAGATGTAGAAACATTCTAAGAACCACTTTAAATCTAGTGTGACCCTTTGTTCTCATCTCATCTCTCTCTCTCTCTCTCTCTCGCTATGTCTTCTCTCTTGTATATTTTGCATCAACTTTCCACTATTCAATAAGGGAAATGAGGACCCTTGTCTTCCCCCAACAAACTCAACCTAAATGTAAATAATGGTGTACTTTTTTTTTAAGGAATCAAGTATTAAGTTAAATCTTAAATGCTACACATTTATCAATATATTGATAACAATTAAATTCATAATTTTAACGATGTAAAATTGTGACTATAGAAACTACTCAATTGACTTGCACACCTGACATTAGTTTTGAAGATTTATGTCTTACTTATGTGATGTACATGACAGATCTCCCTCTCTCTCTCTCTCTCTCTCTCTCTCTCTCTCTCTCATAGAGATATATATATATGTATTTACTTATTTATCTATCTATCTCTTTTCATGATTGGTATTCAAATAAGAACCTCACACTTGTAAGATGTGGACAACTGCCCTCAATTTTAAATCATTAATAGAGCATAGGCATGAGCTTGTTCTAAACTCAAATAAGATTTAGTAGGGTTGCTTTATTTGAACCACAACTAAAGAACATGTCAAAGACTATTTAGACTAGGTCAATATTAATTACTAACATTTTTTAAAAATAATCATAATTGCTCAAGAACTTTAAATTTCAAGTTTTTCAAAAATTAAAAAGTAAAATTGGAACTTATTTTTTTTATATGATATAATGAAAAAATCACATATGGTGAGCTAAATTATCATCTAGATTAAGTGAAATAATGAAAGTTCAATTTGGGCTTCTATATAAGAATTCCAAATTTTACACCATGTTGATACACTGAATAAAATGCAAACTTGTTTACACCACTATCTCTAATTTCATACACTAAGTATCAACTAGCCCCTTCAACAATGGATATTAGTGGAAATACAACATATGATTGTAATCAATTGTATACAATACATTATACTTTATTAGAGTGTAAAAAACTACATCATGTGGATTTAGTGAGGTATGCAATGGTAGATAATGAGTGTTAAAATCTCATTAATAAATAGTGAATTAGAGGTGAAGCTTTTATGTGCTAATTAAGTTTTAAGGTTGATGAATTTAGGTAGGGAGTAATGTCACTAAGCTCCTATGGCAGAGAAAATAGCTTGTATTAATAATTGAAAGTATATCGGTTGAGAGAGGTCTCTCTCTCTCTACTTTGTGTCATTATATTGGCATTTTCTACTTGTATTTGTATAAATTTCATCTTGGTCAGATAAAAAACAGACCTTTCCATTGGCAACAAGAGAGTCATGAATCATAATGTTAATAAATTATGTTCTTTTTTGTGGCTTTGAGAGTCTTAGATATTTTGATGATAATCACAATATATGGAGTATAGTTTACTCAAATGCCTAAATATGGAGTTACATATCTTGATGAACTCATGAATGATCCACATTAACATAACATGGAGCTTATCAGTCTAGACCAACAGTGTATTAGTAATTACCTTAAGTATTCCAAGTTTATTCAAGGGGATGCAACAACTCATGTGCCTAGATTGAACAATGATTTGTCAATTATCATTTTCTGTTGAATGGAAATAGTATGTTTCCAGCCAAATATGTACAATGGATACATATACATTGAAATCAAAGAAACCCTGGTCAAATAAAAAACAAGGGTTAAACTAGTTTTGTGAAACCTAAATGCAAAGAAAGAAAGGCATAGGAGGAGAGCTAAAAAGTCAACGTGCTGAAGCACACCAACTTGAGACTGAAATGTTTTCAACTCAATGTACCGCAAACGTTTCTACAAAAAAACTTTTACATCATCCACATTTGATGAAGAAACATAAAAACGTTTGGGAACACATAAGTAAATCACTACATTTTATATTTATATGGTGGAGTAACTATTTTCCTTGATGCTTAAATCTAAAAGGGATGAGTAGAATCTCTTCTAATTTGGCCACTTAGAGTGGTGAATTTAAAAGATGATTTATGAGGGAAATATTGAGTTGATTAAATTTATTAAGTTCAATAGGTCATTAGAGTTTGAAATTCAACTTATAAATTAATAAGAACTAAGTAGAACCAGAGGACATTGTCCTTTAAATTAGAGTAGGTCAAAAAGGCAAACTCTAAGTAAATAATTACACTATATGTATTTATGTTGTGGAGAAACTATGTCCATCTATAGTTTGTTGGGCCACCTATAGTCATAAATCTAGAAGAGTATTTTAAAGTGGAATCTTAAGTTTATGTTGAGTTGTTAAGTTTAGTAAATTATTGAAGCTTTAAATTTAGCATCTAAAATAATAAGAATTTAATGGAACCTAGATACATTATCTTTGGAGAAGGGAATAAGTTAAGAAGATTGAAACTTTATAAATCATGGTGTGAATTAGTTATGACTACCTCTCAAAAAAAGAGTGAGTAAGAGTGTTTAATGGACAAAAGTGAAGAAATATCTATTCATTCTCCCCCTCTTGATATAGTGATGTCATATAGAAATTGTCATCTATCACTTATAATTTATTTATTTATTATGGTGAGGACATCATTTCACTATGCTTATATGATTATATAAAAGAGGATCAAAATATTTTTAAAATGTAATGCATGCATGAAGGATTTATACCTAGTTATTCATCCATGCAAAGATTTATCCAAATTCATCATGAACATAATTATTGTTGTGGCTTGTGAAATATAAAATATATAAATATTTCGCTAAAATAATAGGAGTGATATTTAGAAGAGAGATTCTACTATGGGAGATTGTGATGATAATAAAATAATTAATTACTCTAGTTATTAACGATGTGATTTTATGGTCATTATATAATTAATCTTAAAAAAATTGACGTTAAATTATCTCATTGTTTATAGTGACTTCATTGTAAAAATAGAAAACCAACCCCATTTCATATGGTAAAAAAAAAATAAACACACAAGATGATCTTTAATGTTAGTCAATCTCTAAAGAGCTAACATTCACCAATTTATTTTGAGATATAATATTAGTAGTAAATCATTAGTCCAAAATAAATATTTTTTACATATCCACAATGAGATGTGTATATAACTTACATCTAAAAAGATAGTATAAAATAATAATAATAATTTTTAAATAATAGTGATTAAATGGCATGTCACTTGGCCGATATTAGGTATGACCTATTTGAATCTAGTGAGGTTGGGCAGATCTACATTGAGCCATCGTTCAAATCAGATGATTTCTCATTCACTCCACCAATTGTTATAGAGTCTAAAAACTTGCAAAATTAAAAATTTACTTTGCAATGTTTCTAGATCACCAAAGCTCTCTCTTCCTCTTTCCTTCTCACTCTCCTCCACTTTATCTCTCTAAATAGCATAAAATTAACATGCAAATGTGACAGTGTCCTAGCAAAAGATAATAAGATCCAGATTTTAATCCACAAAGTATGAATCTAGGAAAATAAATTAGATTTGAATCAATAAATTTATGACTTCAACCCCTTGAATCCACAAGGGGGTGAATTTGAATCCACAAGATCAAAGAAAGACCCTTGATCTCATAGGACAAAAAAAATCTTATAACACTTTTAAAGTTATCTCTCTTAGGTTCTAATAAGAACTTTTATACATGCTTAAAACAAAGGTGAGATGCTCTCAAAAGAATATCATAAGTAGATCTTGAAACAAACTCTAAGTACATTTAAAAAAAATGAAATATAGTAGGGAACACCTTGAAATAGACTCAAACAATTTAAAATAAACTTTAAACATCTTTTAAAGCACCTTCTAGAACATAAGAGTCATAAAGTAACTTTCTTAAAATAACTTTTTGTGTCTTCCTTAGTCCAATTAATTTTTGACACTTTTTACAACTCACCTTTAATTTGTGACTCAATTCCAAAGTGGTTAGGCCTCTAATTTGAGATTCTTCTTTGACTTCTATATCATGAACTATATTAGTCTCCCTTGCTTAAAAATAATTTATTATGGAGTTTTCATTAGAGTCACCATAGTATTCATAAGTATCACTTACATTAAAGATATGTGAAATATCAATATCATGTAAAATTTTAATGATATACACATTGTTATTAATTTTTGTATAAAACTCTAAATGATTTATATTTTTCTTGAATTTTAGCTTGTTATATGTAGCTGCTGGGAAAAATTAATTTCATAAGCAGACCATGACAAGATCAACAATTTTAAATATATATTTTTTAATTGTACTATATTTTATTACTTTTTACTTTTCATAATTAGTTGTAAGATTTTTCTTGACATTTTCATAATTTCCTTTATGTGATCCACCATATTATTCACAACA